TGCCTCTGATACAGAGGCAGCAGGGCAAGCGGGTGGGGGGAGGTGTGTGTAGCTGTTAAGTCTGGGCTCATCGGTTAATCCTATCGGTTAACCATGCAAACAGCTACATGCTAACATCCTTAGTAAGAACCCTGTAGCACATTTAGCAGCTGGTTATGTTGGCTTCTGCCATCTGTGGCTCAGTGTGGCTGAGTCATCCCAGGCGGCAGACTTTTCTGCCCTACACTCTTGCATGGACTTCAAAAGCAGAGGTCGCAAGTGTGAAATGAATCTGTCCAGTTCAGCTCCTGTGGCCTACAATCTGGAGTTTTAACAGGATGGATGTACCAGTCTGGGACTTTCTAACTGTATTTGCCTAGGGTTGTGGTGGTGGGGGAGAGAAACCCCCCGATGTAGTGCTGGCTTTGTGACTCCTGCCAGCGATCGTGTTCAGTTTTATTTCTGCATGCCCACATTGATGCCGTCCTGGTTCTCGTTGGCAGGAACATCCTTTCTTTACCTTGCACAACACCAAAGAGACTGACATGGCCTCCTTTGTGACAGAGATCCTTGGGGAAGACTCCTAACTCGCCAGCCTCGCTGCCACGTACAGTCACTTCAAACCAATGTCCTGGCTTCCCCCCAGAAGAGAAAACGAGGGCTCATGTTCACGGTGGTTTGCACAAATTGCCTCTCCCCTGCCCGTGTGCCTCTCCAAGCCAGACGGGCAGGGGTGTGCTCTGGCTTTTATCACCTGTACACTGAAACTTACACAGCAAGGACCTTTGAAATCGATGCATGGAGTGGCCAGTGCCGTTGCTGACTCATCCATGGGATGGAGTGGGCTCAGGAGATGACGTCCTGGTTCCAAACATTCCTCCTCAGTTGCGTCAGGAGAGCCAGATGCCTGGCATCTGAGTTGAGGAGTCTGTTCCGTTCAAGGATGGGGCAGGGGGAGAGTGAAAGTGCCCCCCTCCTGAGCCATTTTGGCGAAGGGGCCAGAGAATATTTGCACTCGCTCCCTCCATTGTGCGGCAGAGCCAAGAGATTCTTTTTTGCACTCTCCAGTCTCCTTCTCTGTTCCTCCCAGGCCTGGGGGAGTGTGTCTCCTTCAGCAGTTGGGGGGCCAGGGGATGCCTCCATCAGAGTTCAGTCCTGTTCTGCCTTCCCTCAAGGCCTGCCCTCCCCACCAGGTACCATGGCTGCGGGGATCCCACGAGACTCTGTCCCAAAAGTGGTCTGAGGAAATCTCTGCCCAGCTGCAGTTGACTGCTGCTTGTGGAAGAGGGGTGACACCAGGATCAGACGTGTGTGTCATTCCAAGGCCACTCGATGGCTGAGGCACCTCCACCCTTGCCAGAACCCTGTTGGGGCAAACCCACACACAGGTCAGGTCTCCCTAGACTGTTACAGTGACCCCCAAAAGCCTGTTTTAACAATCCCAGGCCCATGGCATTTGGGGGAGGGCTCCATATGCTGCCCCTCCCCCCCCCCCCAAAAAAAACCCCACACCCC